ATTTTTTAGGGAAAATGCCTTGGGTTTTGTTTTGTTTTGTTTTGGGGGTTTTTCTGTTGGGTTTTTTGGGGTTTTTTGTTTGTTTGTTTTATATGACAAGTTTGAGTTGGAGAATACTGACCTTATAGCATCACAGATGTATGTAGCTTCTTGTTGACCCAATATTGGAATAATTTGCCTTTTTGTTTATGCAACATCTTTTTGCACCCATGCAATTGAAATTAAATTGTTAGTATGATGTTTAAGGAATGCCACTGGTTGGATTCCCCTCCAGTGTTTTTTCTAATCCTTTCCAAAATAGAGGTAATTATGTGTCATCTATGAGGAATTTGTAATACAGCACACTCTGCCCCTTGAGGATCTCTCTTAAGTCATATGTATGTGAGGCCTGGAAAAATCATGTCCTCACATGGTTATATTTCAATATTAGCAACATGAGGAGGATACAGCTGTGCATTTGTTCCTTCGTGTTCCTGTCTGACTTGGGCTCTGGCCTAGAAGTGATGTCGGTGTCAGAATATGCCAGATTGGTTGTTTCTCAAAGCAGGGCTACGAAGAAGTCTTGCCAGTATATAAAAGTCACAGTTGGAAAAATCTGTTTGATGATGGTTGTTTTGTTCGGTTTTTTTTGTTTTTGTCCTCCCTGATGTTCTTTTGTATCAGGAAGTGACAGGAACATTTTGTCAGGAGAAGCCTTCGTGCCACTTGTACCATGTCTCGAGTCTGCAGAATTGTGCATGGCACCGACGTGTGTTCACTCCTGGTTTGTTCTGGTGGCCCTTTGCCTGTAAAGATTCTACAAATGATCTTGTGGTTATCATAACCAAGAATCTTAAATATTGCAGATGTGGGATGAGCTATCTTCCTGGCCCTCTGAGCCACATCCCAAAATTTAGGACAGCCAGACAGCCAGCTTGTTCTTCAGGGAACCAGGGGAGAAGGGTGCTGTGTGCTTTTTGGAGGTGGGAAATGACAGTGGCTCCCAAGAATGCTAGCTGTCCATTGTGGGTCAGGGCTGGGCTGAAGGGTGTAACTTCAAGATGGAATGAAGTGTGTAATGTCAGCTTCAGTAGCATCTGATAAATTAGTCCCTCTCACAGTGGGGGATTTATCCTGCATAAGCACAACCCCTCTGTTGGATGTGGGATAGAGTGCCAGCGTGGAAGCTGTGCTTGAAAGCCTTGTAGTCCAGGGGAAACAGGCTGGCAGCTTTTCCTGTGATTCTTTGTTGCTGAGGTTTCAAGCAGTGCTGCTTCTCTTCCTCTGTCCTGAGATCCCTGCCCTGCTGTCCATGTTAAATCCAACTGATGTTCTCCACTTCAGTTGCCCAGGTTGTGGCTTGTGTTTTAACATCACTTGTACGCTGTAAGTCTGAGTGCCAAGACTTAGCATGCAAAAATTGTAGTGAGTCCCCACAGAACGTAAGATTTGCCAGAATCATGCAATGTTAGCACATGCTAAATTTGTGCACTCTCATTTACCTTCTGTTGCTTGTTTGTTTTGATGGGTTTTGAGTTGTTAGGGGATCAAGCTTGTGCCTGCAAACACAACTGCCTGACACTTTCTCTGGAATTCAAAAACAAAAGATGAGATTTTGATGTTATCACCTGTCTGCAGGGATTTGGGGCTTTTACTAAAACTCCCCAAGCTCACTGTAAAACTTCAGAGGGAATTTTGTCAGCAGCTAAGACATACAAGTCATATATGAAGAACTGGTGCTGCCTGACAAATCCTTCTCATGCACCAGCGATCACTGAAGTCTTTTAAGGCAGCTGGGCCCCATGAAAACAGCTTTGCAGTACCCACAGAGAGAGTGAGGCTTGACAGGCACTGTTTGATCAGAAGGAACTACCTATTGCCACATCGTTCCTTTGCACCCTCGCTTCCGGCCCTCTTCTCTGACACGTGAGATGTGTGGTCAGAGCATGTTTGGGAGCCAGGAACTTCTAATTCTGGCTATAGCACTCTCTTCCTTGTGATGTGAAAGCAGCCATGTGGGCATTTTTAAAGGATTTTTTTAAAAATAGCCCCTAACTGGGGTGCCCACACCTGGGTATGTAGTCAGAGGCATACTAGACCTGACTTTCAGAAGGGGTGAATATCTGGGAATTCTTTTATTCTCAGCTGAGATTGTACATATTCAACATTGAGTAGTCAGGGCAAAGCATTCTTTATTAGGCTTGAACATGAATTGTGTTGCAGAAGTTTCTAAGCATTAGGAAACTAATGAGCAGCGCTAATATGAAGCCTATTCTCAATAGCAACTGCAGTTTTCACACCGAGATGCCCTGAGAGTTGTGAATCTGAGAAGAGGAGGAGAAATGAAGAAAAATAATCTAAAAATGTGGTACAGTAAAGTATAGTCTACAGAGTGTTTAACTTACCAAGAATGTTAGGAAAATAGAAAGCTTTCATTTCTTTAAAAACCCCCAAAGCTCCACAGTCTCCTAGGACTGAAAATAACTTCATGTTCTTTGCTGATGCTTTAAGATATAATGTCTGCTATTCCATCTTCTCTTTCCCTTTTCTGCTCTCAGGAGACCACTTTCTCCAGAAAGTGGGTTTTGAGATTTGGGAGTACTTGCTAAGAGAGATGGGACATGTCAGAACACTTCACAACTGTCTTGGAGTCAGACCTCAAAAGAGCATTTTAATTTCTGAGACCCTTCCTCAGCTGACTGTCACAAATGAGACTTGTGAAGCATCAATGGCATTTCAAGACAGTCTTATACTTTTATGAGGAAGAAGCAGATCTATTTTGAAAGCAACCAGCCTACAGAGTATTGTTCCAAATAAATTAAGATATTGGGTGTCATACCCAATATTTTGGTCTGCTCCTTGCTATTGGAGCCTGAGTACTTTGGTCTGTGCTGTTTGCATTATACTTAAGTGTGGCTAAGTTTCATTCTGCCTGCTATTCCCAGGGCCCTCATGAAGAAGAGATTCATATCTCATGAGATTACCCCACTGAGCAAAGAAATGAAATAAATAATATTACTGTTTTAGTTCTGTCAAGTATAGAGGCTCATAGAGCCTTTCAAGGCAGTGTCAGCATGGGCTAGATACTGCATCAGTGCATAAAAAGACATCCTTTACAAGAAAAGCACTGCAGAATGAAGCCAATGGGAGCCTAATGGGTGGTGGGAAAGAGTGAGCCTTTTTTTTCCCCTCCTTAGTGCAAGCCTGCAGGAGTTATTTTCCAGCATGTGTGAGTCTTGGGGCAAATCAGCATGCTGAAATTCTTCTACAACAGGAGCTCAGAGTAAGTCACTGTAGTAGTAGTAGTAGGGATCTTATTTGGGAACCAATTAGAGCTTGTGTTCATTGTTTCTCCTTGGCAACTTTAATGAATCTATCAACACAGAAGTACTGGAAATAGAAGATTTTACAGTAGTCTCCATTAGGAGGAAACCCACAGGCCACCCAGTTCCTTCCACAGTACAATACAATGCTTCAAAAGACAGAAAAATGTTGTTATGATAACTTAGCCATGTGTGAAGATTGAGGAGAGCTAAAATGAGTTAAATAATTTTACTGTACTGTAACTTTAAGAAGAAATATTCCCCAGAACAATTGCTCTTCCCTGTACTGCAGAAAATCCTGCAAAAGCCCACTTGAAATGTGTCTGTCAATGCAAACTAACTCAGACAGGTACAGTAAATTTCAGATTCTTGTATTATCATTACAGAGAATAAACTCCCTTTTCTTTTTACTTGTCTGCCAGTCCTTTCACCCAATGCCTTAGACACATTCTTATAATTAAATTTCCCATCCTGTCTCTGAAATACATTATGACATTTGCTCATACTTTATCTAAAAAATCACAGATACTCCTTGTTGTATCATATAATTCCTAGTCTTTGGCAAGGCTGTACAATAACCTCACAATTATCTGTTGTACCCTATTCCCTATCTCATGCTAGGACACGGTTTCTGTTTCAGTTAACCCTTTAGTGCACTCCAAACTGGGAGTATCTGTCTAAGAAAAATAGCATGATACTGTTCTGAGAAATGGAAGAAGAAAAGGCATAAGCTTAGAGAAGTCAATAAGAAGCTGAAGTTCTCCTGACGAGGGGAGGTTTGTGACTGTGTAAACATGCAGGGCTACTTTTCTTGTCATTTTCCTTTATCATCCCCATACACTGAAACAAATGAGAAGTTGATTGTCCAGTATTAAGCACGGGGGTCATGCCAAATAAAACATAATATAAAATAAAGTACGACCGTTTAAAAAAACTACCTGTTTCTGTTTAGGATTTTTACAGTGTCAGTATAATAGGAATACAGGTTTTTTCAGTGTAATATTGCAAGTCCTGTCTCCACCTTAAGATATTGAACTGTTGCATGCAAGTCCTTCAAAGCTGATAAGAAAAAAATGAAGACTCCGGTTACAGCTACAATGCATCATATGTACCTGGAACTGTTCTTAGCTCTATGTCAAGCAATTAAAGATATTTTTAACTTCCATTCTTTAAAAGGTAATAGATTTTTTTTTTTTAGTTTCTATTAGAAAGTATACTAAAATATTATGCATACTTAAAAGGCTATTATGAACACACAAATAAGCAAACAAGATTGGAACACGAGTGGAGCTTCAGAATGTCATTATAGGGTGCTCATACAGGGTTTTTTTATGACTCTTTCCACCAGAAGAAACTCACAAGGCCATGGAAAAGAAAACATTAGTGCTACTTTATGTAATGTTATTTACTCTTTCATGTTCTGTAGGACCTTATTAGAAGGATGAGAGATGAGTTCCAGCAGTACATGTTAATAATAGGCCATACAAATGAGATTATAATAAGAGAATCCTGGATGATACATAGGGAATTAGAGCCAGGAGTCCATATATAAAAGCAGGTGTATACTCAGAGAAACTAAGAGCTTGGTAACTCTTCGCAGGAGAGGATCCACAAAGGTGGAGACTGAGTCAAACTCATGAAGCCTCCTAAAAAGTAGTGGTAGTCCAAAAAAGAGAAGCAAAATCCAGGAGTCCTGGATCTTATTCTCAGAGCTATCATAGGTTTATTTTCACTCTCTTAGAATTTTGTCCTTGAAATTCCTTTTGGAAAAACTTTCCATTGAAACAGTGTTAATTTACAGAAAAAAAAAAAAAAAAAAAAAAAGAAGAAGAAGAGTCTGGGGGTTTTTTTGGAGGAAAAAACCCCAGATTCACTGCTCTTGGATTATGAGACATTAGAGAAATGCAGTTTGTCTCCAAAATAGATTGTTCTGAATCACCTGCACATATGTGATGCTCAAAGTGCGAAAAGGACTGATAATTTTGCATTTTAAAGTAGTTGTCTCTTTTAAACCTTCCTGAAGAACCCATGGATTCCAATAATTTTTTTCTCACGTGGCACATGTACTCTTCTGTCCTTATAATTTAAACAGGGGACTTTCCTTAGGGGTCAGTTCTCAGGGAGACACTGTGCGTGAATCGAAGACTGCATATCTTCCACTGAAGTCCTTGGGACCTGAGAGCTGCTTAAAAGTAAACATATGTTATAGAGTTTTCTTTAAACAGTGGGGCTGTAATGTCTGATATATGTGAAGTATTTCAGAGAACTGCAAAAGGCAAAACACATGATTAAAGACAGAGTAAAAGTGAGGAAAAAGCTGTGTCTACTACTTCTATATAACTTCTTATCTGCATTTCCAGTAGGTGCCAATCTCTAAAGATAGGTGTACTGTACAGCTGCTAGTTTTGGCTGGTGTATTTTTGGTCTCTATATTGACAGAGAGTATAAATATTCCAGAGGATAGATAAGTGTCCTGCATGATGTAATAGGCAACCCAGCATATCAAACAACTGTGTATTTCAATGGCTGCTGTTATAATGTTGTAACTGCTGTGGTATACAAATTCATGACATAGAAAGCTTCAAAACAAACACTAATAGAAAGCTATTTACACAGAGACAAAATTATTGTAAATAATTTTGAAGTTTTAGATGACTTGTACTTTCCTTAATGAGTGCCAATGATTCACACCCCTGGTAACTTCCTAGTAAAAATACTGGAAATGGTGTATTTTCATGTTTTATGTGGATGATTATTAAAGAATACATTTAAACCTGCACCAAAATTTACGGTTAATACTAAGTTGAGGGTAAAAATATTTTAATTCTGTCAAAATACACTTTAAGAGGAAGATAGTTTTAAAGCTTGTGAGCATTTTGTACTGACATTTTACTTTAATTTCCAGAAGAAGTTGTAAGTGTATAGCAGCCACAACCAGAAACTAGGTGGCAGGCCTGCCAGGACTGGAGTGAGGACGAGGCAACATAGTCTGGTGTTTTTTAAGGATGGAATTGAAATTGGCTAGGAAAGGCTGTCCAGCCTGGGAGCTGCAGAAGGAAACACAGCAGGTATGGGACTGGGACTGGCTGAAAAACTAGGGGAAGGTGGGGACCATTTGGCATCAGAATCAAGATGATGAAACACAGGGATACGACCAAAAAGAAAGATGAGAAAAATGCAACTGTCTGAGCAACTACATTGAATCAAGGAGGTGTGTAGGGAATATGAAATCATAAAATGGCCATCAGGCTGGGAGCTAAGGTGGTGTGAACATGCAGATCTGGAGCGCAAAGAGTGGTTGGAGGTTTGATTAGTTAGAGAGAGAGATGGATCTGATTGACAACAGGAAGGGAGAATTGTGTCTGGGAGGAGATGCATGAAAGTAGGAGTCAGGTGAAGTTTGTAGATAAATAGTCTTATACTCCTTCCTTTACTGAAATGTCTGAGTAGCTTTTTACATAAAATTAATAACACCCACTTCCCCTTTATCTGTTGAGATAGAAGTAGACTGAGTAATCCTAAGTAATTTGGATATTTAGTTTGTGCTTTTGGGGGGGATAGGGAAGAAATATTTCTTCTTTGATCAGAGACTGTTTGGAGTTTGGTGATATATCATGAATGTCTCTTGTAGTGGGAAGCCTTTTTCAAATGATTCTCAAAGATACCTGCAAGTTTTGCTTAAAAACAGTCACACTCTGGACTCACTCTTTTTGGGGCTTTTTTTTTTTTTTGGTCCGGGTAACCTCAAAAAAAAGCAAACATCTGCTTCACTGCGGTTTCTTCTAGGGCTTGTAATCTGTGCTGTTGCAAAGGGAAGCAGCTGCTACATTTGTTTGTAGATCTTCCTGCAGTCTGTGATGTTACTGGGGTTGATCTGGTAGCTCTTTGGCCAACGGGGCCGGTGCCTTACACCAGCACTGGAAGCTGGCTAGAAGCTATTTGGAAAGGACTTGAGCTTGAAGCCTTAGCTCTAAATAAACGTTGTGGTTTATTTTTTTCCCTGTAACCATTTTGAAACAGTATTTTCAGCTGTATCGACTGAGTTGCAACTAATCCCAACTAACGGGAAAAAAGTCTTGTCTTCCTCTGCCCAGAGTCTCCTGGGCAAGGTGGGAGAGAGAGTGTTTCCCAACAAGGGAAAGGTGAAAGAGAGTATTTTGAAAAATGTCTGCTACTTGGACAGGCAAAATAAGTATGAGCTGTGGAAATCTGCCTGCTTTTTGCTGAATGAGGGCTGAGTGCCTTCTGTGCAAGGTGCTAAACAACATCTCTGACAACTTCTGATTTGAATGTTCCTCTTTTTCTATCCATTATCACTGGAGTCTTCTTTGGCTCCAATCTGCACCAGCTGCTTTCCACCCTAATCTTATTTCCCAAAGCAATCTGGACACGTTCGCAGCAGCGGTGGTTACACTGGGTGAGGATGAAGTGCTGCAGTTGTCCTTGGCATGTTATTGTCGGTTAAACCAGTGGAATCTCATTAGGTTAGATTCCTTCATGGCCGCTTATGGACGCCTAAGGGTGGAAGATGCCTGTGGTCTGCAGAGATAAAGGCCCTCGGGAAGGAGGAGCAAACGCTTATCAGTGCTGCCAGTGAAAGACAAACGTCTAGAGTCTTTTTAGAGTTGGGCCAGCTCTTTCTGCGCTGTCCTGTGGCCACACAAATAGCATTCGTGGCAAAGCTCGAAGGGCTGCCCCAGAGTCGTTACTGTTCCTACGGCCCCGGAAAAGCACGGGTTTAATGGCATTAATCAGCGAGGATGAAACGAGGGTGCAAAACCTGGCAATAATGGAATAATTTTTCGTTCTCTGGGCTTTCCGTGGTTTTCCGGTGGGGGCGGTGGGCAGGCTGTACACCGTAGTCCTGCCTGCGGTATTTCGTACGCACTTTAAACCATCCAGAGCTGGCAGCAGCCGGGCGGGAGCGGCGCTGGGGTCCAAGAGGAGACAGGAAGGCTCGATCGGCTCCCACCTTCCCGGAGGAAAACAGTGTCTCGCTGTGGGAGGGGGCAGCTCGGGCCGGGACAGCCTCGCGCCCCGCCCTGCCTGGCGTCATGGAATTCCAGGGCGCTCCCGCCAATGGCGGCGGGGCCACGTCCAGTGCCACCCGCGGCAGCCCCGGCACGGGGGGGCCCCGGGTCCCCGCTGGTGACCTCGGTGTTGGGTCCTGCCCGGCCCCGCTGCCGCCGGGACACCAGGGAGCAGCTCCTCGCTGCGGGAGAAGGACGCGGGGAGCAGCAGGGAAGCGGTGGAAGCGCCATTTCTCCCTCCTCCCCTCCGTGCAGAGCTAAAGCTGACAGGGAAAACCTATGGATTATTAACCTCTGGGCAGCTTCTTGCAGCTGGGAACTATAGCGCTTGCCGGCTTTTAACTTTTCCAGCTGCTTATCATATGACGTGTGTGTTATGTTGGGAATTGATTCCTCTTTCAGTGCCTGGCTTTTAGTGTTTACTGAGCATTGGCAAATACTCCATCGTGTAATACTGTACAGCTCTGAGTTCTCATTCCAGCTGTCCAGTAAGGTGCTGCTCTCTCATAAAATACTATCAATAGATAAATCACTAATACTTCTGTAAGTATAAAGAAAATGCTTTGTGGTTTCTTTTTCCTGACAGTCACCTCCCATAAACTCACCGTTGGGTCAGAGGTGTGTCTAGTGTATCTACTCCCATCTGTGTAGTGCAGCCCGTTGTATTTGTCTGAGTACCAAAGCTGACTATATCTATTTTAGCAGGATGTTCTGCCCACGATAACCCCCTCATCCTTGTCAGGTTTGGTTAGCCCCAAGTGAATTTCTCTGCTCACATGGCTAAACCACTTCTGCTGCTGGAGGTAACTTGGATGTCTCCACTCAGAACTGTATTACATCATCATCCGTAATAAAGAGTTTGCAAATCAAATATGGCTCCTTCTAATGCCTAAATGACAGACAAGATGGTGGCACCACTTTGTGCGAGTAGAGAACCTGACACTGTAGTTGAAATGTGGTTAAGAAAATTGCAAGTGACTGTTCATTTATATTACAATGCAGGTTACTTTCCCACAGGGCATTTAGATTCTGACACTAACAAAAAATAAAGTAAGAGCAGATTTTCTCATTAAACAACATGGCAGCTGATACAACTGGTTTGGATCTGTTGGCAATGATTCTGCTAAACTTACAGTTGCTTTTCGAATAGCTGCATTTCAAACTTGAAACAGTTTGACAGCCCTAATGCGGGGAATGTGGCTCCTCTTCCTTTCCCAACAGCAAATTTTCAACGTGAACCATTGTGCCTTCAGTGTGTTTCTGAGTCAGAAGTAAGCCCAGCAGTCTCCTCTTGATGCTCAGCTCTCATTTTGCAGAAGGAGCATGGCACTTCCATGGCAGATCCTCGCTAGGTGGGCTCTTATGGGCCAGCTAACAGGGACAAATTTTTTGCATTGCTTCTATGTAAAGAAAAAAATAACAGAATCAATCATAGCATCAATCAGGTTGGAAATGACCTCTCAGATCATCGAATCCAACCTATGACTGAACACCACCAGGCCAATCAGACCATTGCACATAAGTGCCATCTCCAGTCTTTCCTTAAACACTTCCAGAGATGGTGACTCCATCACCTCCCTGGGCAGCCTGTTCCAATGTCTAATCACCCTTTCTGTGAAGAAATTCCTCTTAGTGTCCAACCTAAACCTCCTCTGGGGCAGCTTGAGGCTACATCCTCTTGTCCTGTTGCTGGTTGCCAGGAAGAGAGACTGACCCCCACCTGGCTACAACCTCCTTTCAGGCAGTTGTAGAAAGTGATGTCACCCCTGAGCGTCCTCCTCCCCCAGGAGCAACCTCGGCCCCCTCAGTCACTCTTTATAAGACTTGTATTCCAGCCCCTTCACCACCTTCATCTGGACTTGCTCCAGCACCTCCACGTCTTTCCTGAACTGAAGGGCCCAGAACTGGATACAGCACTCGAGGTGTGGCCTCATCAGTGCCGACTACAGGGGGACAATCACTTCCCTAGTGTTGTTGGCCGCCCAGTGAACCCTAACCCCCCAAAAAAACCCACCCAAAACCCAGTAGGGGAAAGACAGGGCCCTCTCACACTTTGGTGGGGTTAAAGCCAGGCCCAGCTGGCTCCCGGCGGGTGCGGCTGGTAGGGGCCCGGGCTGCCGTGGCGGGGTGTCCCGGGGCGCTCCCGGCCCGCGGGAAAGGCGCGCGGGGCGCAGGGAATCCCCCAGCGCGCGCGGCGTGCCTTTTGTGTTTGTACACACGGGGCGGGGGCGGGGCCGGGGGCGGGGCCGCGCCTTCCCTCCATTGTGCGCCATTGGCGCGCGGGCGGGCCGGGGGCGGGGCCTCACGCGCGGGGGGCGGAGCCGGGCGCGGGTCCGGCCCTCCCGGGTCGGCCATCTTTCAATTGTGCTCCGAGCCGCCGCCAGCAGCAGCCGCAGCAGCTCCGGCTCCTCCTGCGCCCGCCCGCTCGCCCGCCCCCCCTCCCCCCCCCCCCCCCGGCCGCCGCGCTCGCCCCGCGGACGGGGGAAGTCTGGCGCCGCGCCCGCCGCCCCCCCTGCGCCCCGACACCCACCCGCCGCCCTCCGCCGACCCTCCCCACAAACTTTTGGGGGGCTCGGGAGGCGGTGGCGGCGCCGGTTCGCCCTCGCCTCACCGCCTTCCCGGCGCAGCCGGAGCGGCTCCCTCCGCCGGCACCCCCGGCCCCGCTTCGCGCGGTCGTTGCCCCCCTCTGCTCCCCTCGCCCCCGCTCCAGACCCCCACCAGCCGCCTCCCCAGCCCCTTAGCTGCCTCCTCAGCCCGACATCCCCCGGATCGGGGCTGGGAAGCGGCCGCAAAGAGGAGCCGCTCGTCAGCCCAGGGTAACTCTCCTGCCTTCCTTCCCCTGCTCCCCACAGTTGTTGCTCAGCTTCACCATCTTGTCTCTTTTCTCTGGTCACCGACCATATTTTTTTTCCTATTGCATAAAAAACAATAAAAAGGGAAAGAAATTCGCCGAAGGAACGACCCAAACGCAACGCAATTTTTTGGTTTTCGAGTGCAAACTTTTCCGCTGCCTCCCCCTGCATCTGCACCCGCATGGTTTGGAGTTCCTGGCGATATTTTTGGCGTTATTTTTCGCAATTTATTTTTTCCTCCTTTGCAAAAGGACTAGGGCTGCATTTCGTGATTGTTTCCATTTTGTTCTGGCTCTGGGAGCTGAGTTTGCCTGTGAGAGGCGCTTGGGAGCGAGGCAGCTCTTGGGGAAGCAGTTACACAGAAAGAGAAAGACGGGCACCCAGAAAACAACCCCCCGAAAAAAAAGTTTGTTGCTTTCTCCCACTTTATCCGTCCTCTTTCCTTTTCGCACGATAAACGCCGGGTTACCTGCGGTTGCCGGCGGGTCGGGGAGCGCGGGCGGGCGGCGCCGGGCAGCCCGGGGAGGGCCGGCGGGGGCTGCCGCTCCGCTCTCCTTCGCTCCGCAGGTTCGGAGGAGGTTTTCCGGCGGGTGGGAGCGGCGGGTCCGTGCCAGCCCCCCGATGTTTGCCGGGCGGTATTTGCAAACACTTGGCAGGTGACGGGCGGCCGGCGGGGGGGAGGCGACAGCCGCCTCTCTCCGCGTCTGCTGCCGCGCGGCTCGCTCGTCTTCAGCCGCCGCCGCCTCGGTATCGAATTCGTGGGCAAAAGAGCTGTATTTTAATATTCTGCGATCGGCAGACGTTTAATTTCTAATTTTTCCTTTTCTGGTGCGGGTTTTTTTTTGGCGTTGGGTTCTTTTTTTTTTTTTTCGCTTGTCTATCAGCGGCCGCGGGCTCGGCGCTCAGGGCTCGCCGGGCAGGGTCGGCGCTGCGCGGGACGGGGGGCAGCGCTCCCGCCCGCCCCGGGGGCAGGTGCCGCGGGGGGCGCACGCTGAACGGGGCGACCACCCCCCCCCCCGCCTCCCCCCTCTCCCCACATTCCCCCCGGCAGGTGTAAGGCAGCGACGTCGGCAGGAGCATGGCCCGTACCAAGCAGACCGCCCGCAAGTCCACCGGCGGGAAGGCGCCCCGCAAGCAGCTCGCCACCAAAGCCGCCCGCAAGAGCGCGCCCTCCACTGGCGGGGTGAAGAAGCCGCACCGCTACAGGTAACGCAGCGCCGCGCAGAGGCGGCCGCGGGCCGGTACCGGGAACGCCTCCCACCAAATCTCTCCTTTACCCCCCCCCCTCCTCCCCGCGGGGCCGGCGGGGCGGGGGTCGCTTCTCCCCGCCTCCACCGCGCTCCCTCCGCGCCCGCTGCCCGGGGCCGCCCGCATGCCGGCAAAATAACCAGAAAAAAAAAAATGACAAGCGCGGGTCCCCGCCTACCGCAAAAATAAGCAGAAATTCCCGGGGCGGCACCTACACCCGGCGTTTACCATCAACCCCTTTCCGGGCGTTCCAGTGCCGGTCCCTACAAAATCGACAACTCCCCCCTCCCCCCCCGCTGCGGCGACCCCAGCTCGGAGTTGCTTTTTTTTTTTTTAATTTTTATAATTTCGTACTTGTGGTTATTTAGGGGCCGCTGCGGGGCCGCCAAGTTTATTGTTGCGGGCGCGTACCGCGGTCCCCCGGCGGGGCCGGCTCCGGGCGCGGGGGCCCTGCAGGGCGGGAGAGCGGCCGCCAGAGGGCGCCGCGCGCCCGCGGACCCGCCGGGATCCAGAAAGCGGAGCCCGGGCGGGCGGGCGGGAGTCACCGGCGGAGCTGTCAAAGCAGCCCCCTCCGGCCGTGAAGTTCTCCGGTCCTTGCTCGGTGTGGAATGGCGACAGCCGTGCTTCAGCTTGGGGGATGGCTTTGGGGTTAGGTTTACGTGTTTCGTGGGGAAAACGTGGATCGGGAAGAAGTCGGTTTGAAATAGCAGACTTCATCTAAAAGTCTGGGAAGGGGTCTTAGCAATTGTAAAACTATCTGAAGGGACGGTGTCAAGAGGATGGAGCCAGGCTCTGCTTGGTGGTGCCAAGTAATAGGACAAGAGGCAACGGGCAGAAACTGATGCACTGGAATTTCTACCTGAACATAGCGAAGAGCTTTACTGTGGGGGTGACTGAGCACTGAAACAGCTTACCCAGAGAGGTTGTGGAGTCTCCTTCCTTGGAGATACTCAAAAGCCATCTGAACACAATCCTGAGAAACGTGCTCTGGGGAAACCCTACTGAAGCAGGGAGGTTGGGCCAGATTGACCCAGTGTGGTCCCTTTCTACTTGCACCATTCTGTGATTCTGTCTGTTGCTGTAGGTGTGAGGCAGAATTAATCCACTAAGAAAAAGACGATTAAGCTGAAGCAGGAAAATACAAAGTTCTCACAGAAATAAATGTGGTATTAATTTCACAGATGGACTTTGTGTCTGCGAGAGTATGCTGTTAATCTAAATTTGTCATTCTGACACCAAAACTTAACACAAGGAAATATACTGGGTACTTTGTACTGATAACATAACACAGAATGTAAATTTTTGTTAGTTCTGTGAATCTTGTCAGTAGGGAAGAAGAATCAGATTTCCCTTAAAACCGTACTTGCTGTCAGGCTGATTGCTGTGAGGGTACCTGTGGTACAGCTGAACTCATGACAGCTTTGCCGTTTGCCACGTCTGCACTGAGCTGTGTTGGTGTCAGCCAGCATGTGCTGTCCACCTCTTGGGGAAATCAGGGCTCAAGGGCCTCATGACTCTGCCTGACCTGGGGGATCCCTGTTGAGGACAGTGGAGGCTGGCAGAGATTGATGGTAAGAAGACAGTGGCCCCTTGCCAACGAACTGGTTTCGTATTGTAATGCTTGGACTCTCCTAGGGAAAACAAAGTGTATAGTGATTAGTTTAGTCTGGATAGTGAATCTGTATTTTTAAAGTGATGCAGAATATGTTTGAATACTAATAATTTTATTTTTTTTTAATTATTTAATTTTAAAAGGCCGGGTACTGTGGCTCTGCGTGAAATCAGGCGCTATCAAAAGTCCACCGAACTTTTGATCCGCAAACTTCCCTTCCAGCGTCTGGTGCGTGAAATTGCTCAGGACTTCAAGACAGATCTGCGCTTCCAGAGCGCTGCCATCGGTGCTTTGCAGGTGAGCCTTGCCGAGGGGGCTTGCTGGGGGCAGCCTGAGGGTGGCTCAGAGGGCAGGAGTCAGTGCTGGAAGTGCCATCACAGCCAGGCATCCCCCAAAGCCCCCCAAACCTGGGGGCTGGCGGTGCAGGAGGGCTCCGCCTCCCACCCCCATTGGCCAGGCTGTTTCCAGGGTTAGTCTCGGCTCTGCCTGATTGCTGGGCTGCCGTGGTGGGCGGGGCCCCTCCTGGGGCGGGGCCGATCCGGGGTGGGGGGGTTTGCACACCTCAGCCTTGCCTTGCTTGCTCAGAGTGGACCTGGTGATGCCTATGGATACCATAGGCTGAAATAATGCAGTGACAGGTCAGCAGCTCCTTACAAAGGCTGTAAATGTGTTTGGGGGGGGGGGCTGTCTTGGTTTATTTTTAAATAGCCCCCACCCCTCAAGCAGTTAGAACAGTGCATCTTATTAAGACACTTAAGAAAAACGTGCTTCCTCCATCCTTGAGCTTTGCTAGAGGCTTTGCCTTTGAAAGCTCTGCAGTCTGAGAGGAAAGCGTCGTGTAAAGCTCATTCTAGTGTGTCCTAATGGAGCCCTTGGTGTCCTCAAATGCTCTTTAAAGAAAAGCAGCTCGGTGAGCCACATCTAAACACAGTTAGGGAAATAGGTGCTTTTGTATGATGTAGTTGATACTAAACACATTTTTTTAATATATTAGTTATATAACTTATTCAGAGTGTACAGAGAGTGAAATATTAATTGCTCTTTCTGGCCCAAAATTCCTCAATCTAAGTTAGGCCCCCCCGCAAGACTCAGTTCTTATCATGGGAATGTTTCCCTCTCATGATAAAAAGACACTCCTGATTAAAGATAGGTCTTTAGTGTTCTTTTAGCTGTTGAAAGATTGTTCCAGAACCCATCTGTAGTTGTAGACTGTCTGACATACAGGCAAAATGGTCTCTTTCTAGTTAATGACTTCCACTTGATAAAGGGCCAAGACATATGCCATGAGATCCTATAAACTTGAGCACATGCTTAGCTTCAAAAGGTGGCTGTGTGCATTTGCAGTTGCTGCTTTTGCTTTTAGTTATTCTGTGTGGCAGTTCTTAAATCCTGGGGTTTACCTATGTGCCTTTTTATCTAGAACTGC